AACTAAATCTAGACTAGATTCTAGATCTATATCTATGATCTACTTCTATTATAATTATAGTTAATTATACTTATATCTAGATCTAGTATTATCTACTAGAGTATATAGATCTAAATACCCATACCTAGTTATAATCATAATTATAATAATCTAAAATCTCTAGATCAAGAGTTACTAAGATATCTACTAGACTAGATTATATCTAGATTTTAGATCTAGTAGTAGTAGTAACTAGTATTTCTTAGATTATTTTTAGATTAAAATATTAATTATTTGATCTAGGTCTAGTAGCTAGATCTAATTCTAGATCCATATTATATTTCTGATCATTTCGTTTGTAGAAGATATTAGATCCAGAATATTCTAGAATCTAGAGTTAGTTAGAGAGTCAACATGCAGTTTTATCATTACTTCTAAAAGGTAACTTATAATACTTATATTAGAACTTCGACAATTACTTCTAATTTCTTTCTATAATAGTATAATAGTATCATTCTAGTGATTCTATTAAGATCTACATCTATCCCATAAAGACATTTAAATCTTTTTTCATATGTGCACAAATAAATGTTTATTACATTTTGCTAAAGAGATTGGTTGTGCTTTATACTTTTCATGTTTGGCTGTTTCGTCCTAAAAAAAGGTCAAAATAGTAAAAGTTTAACTAAAGTTTTTTAGTTTAGTTTAACTAATTTTTTCAATTTGTGGTTAACTAAAACTACTTTATTTTTTAGTTCAAACTTAGTTTTAGTTTAACTAAAAAAATTTAGTTTAGTTCCCATCACTAATTTTGGATAAATGGATGGTACCCTTAGAGAAATTCCACTACCGGTACATTAAAAGACACTAAATTTGATGCTCTGTTCAATTGGTATGCATTCACAAGTGTTAAATAAGAAACTATGCACTGAGTGTTAAATGAGAGAACCTATGCACTGAGTGTTAAAAGAGAGAAACTGTGCACTGCGTGTTAAATGAGAACCTATGCACCGAGTGTTAAATGAGAGAACCTATGCACTGAGTGTTAAATGAGAGAACCTAGGCACTGAGTGTTAAATGAGAGAACCTATGCACTGAGTGTTACATGAGAGAACCTAAGCACTGAGTGTTAAATGAGAGAAACTATGCACTGAGTGTTAAATGAGAGAACCTAAGCACTGAGTGTTAAATGAGAGAACGTATGCACTGAGTGTTAAATGAGAGAACGTATGCACTGAGTGTTAAATGAGAGAACGTATGCACTGGGTGTTAAATGAGAGAAAGTATGCACTGAGTGTTAAATGAGAGAAACTATGCACTGAGTGTTAAAAGAGAGAAACTATGCACTGAGTGTTAAATGAGAGAACCTATGCACTGAGTGTTAAATGAGAGAACCTATGCACTGAGTGTTAAATGAGAGAACCTAAGCACTGAGTGTTAAATGAGAGAACCTAAGCACTGAGTGTTAAATGAGAGAACCTATGCACTGAGTGTTAAATAAGAGAACGTATGCACTGAGTGTTAAATGAGAGAACCTATGCAGTGAGTGTTAAATGAGAGAACGTATGCACTGGGTGTTAAATGAAAGTATGCACTGAGTGTTAAATGAGAGAACGTATGCACTGAGTGTTAAATAAGAGAACGTATGCACTGAGTGTTAAATGAGAGAACCTATGCACTGAGTGTTAAATGAGAGAACCTATGCAGTGAGTGTTAAATGAGAGAACGTATGCACTGGGTGTTAAATGAAAGTATGCACTGAGTGTTAAATGAGAGAACGTATGCACTGAGTGTTAAATGAGAGAACCTAAGCACTGAGTGTTAAATGAGAGAACCTATGCACTGAGTGTTAAATGAGAGAACCTAAGCACTGAGTGTTAAATGAGAGAACCTAAGCACTGAGTGTTAAATGAGAGAACGTATGCACTGAGTGTTAAATAAGAGAACGTATGCACTGAGTGTTAAATGAGAGAACCTAAGCACTGAGTGTTAAATGAGAGAACCTATGCACTGAGTGTTAAATGAGAGAACGTATGCACTGAGTGTTAAATGAGAGAACGTATGCACTGAGTGTTAAATGAGAGAACGTATGCACTGAGTGTTAAATGAGAACGTATGCACTGTTAAATGAGAGAAACTACACACTGAGTGTTAAATGAGAGAAAGTATGCACTGACTCAATCAGAGATCTTCTTCTCACAAAGTACAACTCTAATTTTTTAATGTTTAATAAAATTAGGCCTGCATTGAGACTATATTTAATCAAATAAATTGAAATTTTGTTTTTAAAGTTTGCTTTTTGTATGTCCTGCTTTTTATATCTAGGTGCCTGGTCACTCTATTCAAGCTGAGTGGACTCAGAATCCTAAAAATTCTGAAGTTTCGTAACAAGATTCAAAAACGTCGATGCCATGAACTTTACCACTAGCCATCACGCCGCCTTTCCATTTATAAAATCGGATAATTAGAAAAAAAAGTTATAGTATTTTGAAAATTAGACACTGTCTATGCATATTTAATGAGGCAAAAGCAAACATTAGTCATGTTTTTATTTTAAATATTTAAAATATTATTAATATTTTTTCTAAAAACAAATTACTGATTATTATTCAGAATTAGATACAGTTTCTAATTATCGTAAAAGCTCAATTGACATAATTTTGAAAAAAAATCGTATTTCTACAGTGTAATGTAACCTTAAACCGTTGTACAGTCTTCAACCTTTAGTTAAACAAGCACTACTGCTATTTAACCGGCGGCTTGTAATTCCAGGTTCAACAACAAAATGATGCTATTTGTGTGTATAGATATTATTCTTACATAGAAACAGTACTCTTAACATTTACAGCTGAAATGTATTACGGGAAAAAAAGTTTGTTATTTGGTTAAATGATCTTAAACAGAAGCTCGAGTAGCAATCTACACTGACTACGTGGGTTGAGTAGGCCAAGGTTTGTTTCAAGGTCGGGGGGGGGGGGGTCATGCCCAGAAGTATACGGTACCAATTGTACTAAAGCTATTTCACTTTTAAAATGTTTTAGTTTAGTTTTCTAAAACCTTAGTTTTACAACAGAATGTTTGAAGGCTTAACATTTAAGTTCTTATTAAATGTTTGAACGAATTAAAAAAAAAGGGGTGGGGGCGGATGTTTTGAATCTGCTATACTATTTGCTTAAAACTATTCACGAATGAAAGTACACTCTTTACTAAGTAGGCTACTCCGCCTAACCTTAATCCACCGTTATGTGTGTATGCTTGTAACACTATATGATAAAGCATGCATTTCTTTGAGTTATTAGGAACTAAGTTTCACAAATTATATTTAGGCCCCAGACTCGTGAAAGAATCTAGGTTTTTCTAAACGACGCTGACAACAAAACGCCCTTCGAGTTTTCACTAGACAGACAATACCCAACCGATAAAGGCCTACAGTTACTGCATTTCCCGACGCTTTAAAACGTTTTAAAGTGTTGGCTACTCTGTGAAATGTAATGTAATAGTCAGTGAAAGTGAATCGATTCATAAATCAACATTTAGATAAAGATGGAAACATTGACTGGTTTTGTTACACAGTGAACACGAATAAAATCCCAGTAAGTCTGTTTAAGCCTGGAGTCAATGTGTTTCACAAAGTCGCTATTAAGGACTTTCTCGGCATTAGCACAAGCATGTCTATGTTTTGTTCCACAGGAATGTCCTTTCAAGTTTTCCAAACTTAAAGTCATGTGACTTTTTTGTCTTAGTCGTTTTTTCCCCCTTGCACTGTAAATATCAACCTTACAAAACGGCACTAAACAAGTCTCGATAAAAGATGGACTATTATCTTATTTTTTAAAACTGATTTATTCACATAACATTGAATCATTAAAGCACACAAAAAAAATAATAATATAATAATGGTAATTATAATGAATGAAAATAAAATGGCAGCGCGTATGAACACTTAAAGTCTTCTGGTCACTTGAAAGAAAATACAGTCAAAAAAAAAAAGGGGGGGGGGGGGAATAACTTAAAAGGTCTAGACTTAATATGTTCATACTTCATAGCACAACCAAAGATTAGGATTAAAAATAGTTTCGTCTCTATTAAACATAAGTACTTTTGTTTTCAGAATTCTTATTTTTTAGCTACAGACCACTCTGATAGTGCAGCTGGACTTAGAGAACACAAGATTGACCTAGTGCTGTGTGGGTGGTTATTTTAGAGTTAATGGGAGACTCTTATTATTGTTTGGATGCATCTCACAAGAATGTCTAAGAAACTAGACAATGATGAGAGGAAGTAATGGCTTATAGGTATCTTTGTAAGTTACAAGGACAAGGGCATATCAACTAATACTTCTAGCTTAATTATTCATAACTAACAATTTTGTTGAACATCACTAGAACTCAATGTGGGTAGCAGTGTCAATCTTGGGATCAAAATATGAATATTGTCCAAAATAATTTGTCCAGACAGCAGATGAAAACTGATAAGACTTTAAATGAGTGTTACATCATTAAATGGACTTCCTTGCAATTTTATGGAAACAAAGTTCCCAGAAGTTTGAAGGTACAGACCATTTTATTGCTTGTAGGCTTAGAAAGAGTAACAATGGGCATCAGCAGATGTAATTCTTCAACTCTGTTTCTAAATACACAAAAGTCAGAGCTATTTTTTGTTTCCATCTTGTTTTTGTCGCAGCATCTTGGGTTTAATTAAGTTTAATACCTGGGCTTTTTATTTCAATAGTTAAATGCCAAACGTACTAACACAATGCTACAAGAAGTGCTATTGAGATATCAATCTTGTTGAACTAATGCACTTTACAAATAAGCTCACCATGAGCAACTGTGTCAATCACCTCAAGTGTCTTGGAGTGAGTCAATTGAATTAAAATGGATCATTTCCTCCAGTTCAAAACTCAAAAAGGTATCAAACGCAATGAAAATATGGAAAGGATTAAATTTTTTTCTAAATTTTAAACTAAATGTCATGTAACATCTGAATGACATTTGAACAAAGACATGAGAGAACAAATAAAAAAAAAAGGGGGGGGGGGGGGGGAATAGAAAGTTTTTAGTACAGATTTAAAATAGTCTTCTCGCCAATAAATAAAAAATAATTTTGTTCGCTCCAGTCATACTCAGTGTATCAACTGATTGAAATTTGTACAAAAATATACAGAAACTCTACTCTTCTTTGTTGTAATACTAAAGCTTGTGAAATGTAAAAAAAAATATTTGTATAGTTTGTTTGCACACTAAAGATTATAAATTGTATGCCATATTGGGCAAGGACAGTGTGATAGTAGTCATGTCAAGTACATGCATTACTTTGCTACCTTGCTCAGAGAATTCAGAGTTTCAACAAATAGTTTCATGTTTCTCACATTTTAAAAAAAAGTGTTTTTATTAATTGTTAAAAATAGCATAAAAACTTTAAATTGCAACAAATGTAATTTTAACACACACTAATTTAAAAACTTGAAGTGAAAAGCTATTTTGTAGTGTCTTGTCAATTAAAATGAACAAAACCAAATCTAAGAGTTTCACAACCAAAGGAACAGGTTGAGCTCTGATTTCACTTCAAATAGGACAAGCAAGAAAACTTTTTCTTTTTTTTATAACACAATAAATGATGCTGATAACATCAATCATGATTTGAATTACTCCTGGTCATTTGTACAAATTTACAAATAAAATTACAGTTTACTTGGCTACACAACCCAAATAAAAAGTTGTTTGCAATGATGAAGCACTAGATGAAGAAGACTCTCTGAAGGTAGACATATGGATGAAACAATGTATGGACACAATGAGAACATAAGAAATGTATGGACAAATATATTAACTATGAACAGAAGAAGAAATGAATAGAATTGACTAGGAGATCTTCCCCTGTTATGCATACATCATAAAACTTGTACTTTTACAGAAGAACTAGTCATAAAACTTTGGTGATTTCTTTTAAAATGAAGTCATCAAAATGAACTGTTCACATGTGAATGTGCATGGCAATATTTTGATTATTTTAAATTGTCTTAACATACTCAACTTTTTTTTTCTTCAACACAACTTACTGAAAATAATGATACTGACATTGCACCTTAAAATAACAAAAAATTCAAAGTTGATGTTTTTAGAAGGAAGAAAAAAATTGCCAAACACAAAGTAAAATAATTCCTATGATTTTCAAAATCTTGTATGATATAATGTTATCACTAAAATCAACACAAATTAGAAATGAAACTCCATGTTTTAAAGCATAACAGGTGAAAACACAAAAACAGTTTTCACTGGTTGTACCGCCATTTTTTACTGGCTTCTGTATTTCTATTGAATGGAAAACAATTAAAATGAACATATTTTTGTTTTCGTCTTACTGACCCCCATTAACTAGGCAGTCACAAGTACAATCATGTTCACGAAATGAGTTCATACACAGACTATGGTAGAGAATAGAAAAAAACAACTTTCAAAAAGAAGATGTAGAACACAATTCTTGTGTCCATCTTGAGTGATAAAAAGGAACAGTACAGAAAGGACAAAAATGTGACAGTCTTTTGATTGGAGGGCATTTCTTTAGATTCTGTAAATGTTTCATTCAGAAGAATACTATTTGCATTTGTTTCTTGAACATTAAAAGAAATAGTTTTTTTTTAATACCCACATTAATGGGGATTTTTTTCCAGTAATAATTAAGTCAATTTCTGAAATATAATTTCAATAAAGAAACTTTGGTGTAAGCATAACTTTAACACATTCAAAAACAAACCAAAAAAAACCTATATAGCAGCATAAGAAAAGTTGGTGAATTTTACAGAAGTCTGACACAAAATTTTGTTTCAAAAAAAAAAAAAAAAAAAAAAAAAGCATAGTGTGTCAACAATAAATATCACAATATAAGCTTAGTTACTGTCACCTAATCAAAGTTGTTTCAAAGGCTAATATTGAGGTAGATGACCATTATTTGGCATTGTCTATGAATGCAAACTTGCCTGCCATGCACGTGAAAATTACAATGAAAAAAAAAAATTAGCAGCCACAAAAATCTTTTGAAATTAACATAAATAAAAATAATTAAAAAAAAACAAAAAACTTACATACTCCTAGGAAAAAAAAATTTATCTAATGTTAGTATGAATTATAGTTTGTTGTAAAATATTCATTTTAAACAAAGCATTAACTGCAGATTGTTTTTCCCAAATGTGGGTCAAAATGATGTCATACTAACACAATTGATGTTTGCATGACAAGGAGTCAATGTGTAAGAAAACATTGTTTTGTTTAAAAAGTCTCCATCTTGATCAACAATAAGCATGCACATGTTTTCTAGGAACATTAAAATAGCAAAATGAAATAGGAGAACTAAAAAAAATCTACTTTTTGGACAGCACTACTAAAATGTAAATTACTAAAGAGAGTTTTGTACTTTATGGTGCTAAAAGTTAATTTTCCATATTAACACAAAATATACATAAAGATCCAATATTCTCACTCTTTGCTGAAATTGTCTGGTTTCCTTTCATCCAATGAAATGCTTTGTACAGTTCTCACTCATAATTCTAGTCCAAGCAAATGTAATATATATGGTGACTTCAAAAATAATTACACAAGAGTATACTTCCTTATCTAAAGATTAAAAATATGTTTCATTTACTGACAAATGACTTTTAACAATCAACACATTATCTACAAAAGAAGCATACAAATGTGAATCAATGTACTAAACACAATCCAAATAAGTCACTAACAGATGTTCTTGAACTCAGAACCAGTCACTACATTATTTTTTTCTTGGTCCAAAACATTATAAATAATCCAATAGTTTCAGAAAATAAATCCTCTCTACAAATATATTAGTGAATTTGTAATAGCATAATCCAAGAATTTACAGATATCTACACACATTTTTGACAGTACATTTTAAAGCATTTTTATTCTCAAGTGATCTGATACACAATTTCACACACAAATAAATTCACTAATAAAACTACACCACAGATTCATTATTTCTTCGCACAAATATGCGACTGGAGAAAGTCCTCCAGGAATGGAAGGTTTTACCAGTCCAAATCCACACTCCAGAGGTGATGCCTACAATCACAGTCATAAGGTATTTGATCATGAAAACATTGAAATCTGGCCAGGGCTTTGATGTGACACCACTTGGGCAATTGGTACGAAATGATGTGCAAGTCTGGCTGTGCCAGGTCAACATCCACTTGTCTCTGAAAGCTTGCTCATAAAAGTAGCAAGCAATGACAATAGTAGCAGGGACTGTGTAGAGAACAGAGAATATTCCAATGCGCACCATCAGTTTCTCTAGTTTATCTGTTTTGGTTCCATCACTCTTCATGATTGTGCGAATACGGAAAAGTGAGACAAATCCTGCTAGTAAGAAAGATGTTCCTATAATAAGATACACAACCAGTGGTGCCAGAACGAATCCTCGCAGAGCATCCACGTCAAAAATGCCAGTGTAGCACACACCACTGAGCACATCGCCATCGACTTGGCCCATGGCAAGTATGGCAATAGTTTTAATTGCTGGAACAGCCCATGCAGCCAAGTGGAAATACTGAGAATTCGCTTCAATGGCTTCATGACCCCATTTCATTCCAGCTGCTAGGAACCAAGTTAGGGTTAAAATGACCCACCAGATGGAACTGGCCATGCTGAAAAAATACAGCATCATGAACAAGACTGTGCAGCCCTCCTTTTTGGTGCCCTGAGTTACTAGTGGAAGCATTGATTTCTTATCTGTGTTTGTATTGGGTGGGTCTACATTATCAATGCAAGAGATTTTTTCTCTAAGAACAAAGCCAACAACATAAGCCATAGCCACCATGAAGTAACAGCCTGATAGAAATATGATAGGTCGCTCTGGATATCGGAATCTCTGCATATCTATAAGAAAGGTTAGAACAGTGAAGAGTGTAGACGCCAAACAGATACATGACCAAATACCAATCCACCACTTGGCAAAGTCACGTTCATGGCCATCAAAGAACATGTCATAGCATGGTGCACCACAGTTCTTCACAATTTCATCGCCAACTTTTAAATGGTAATCAAGTCCTACAGGAACCGTCAACACAGATGGACAATGAAATCCAAGATCAGGAAATAGTTTGTCTGTTGAGGCAGCTGAACCTAGAACAAAAAAAATGGAAAAAAATTAGTTCTATGAAAAGGATAAGTATAAAAAAAAAAAATTTAAAGATTTACTTGGTGGTTTCAAATAACAATATAAAATAATAACAGGAATAAGATTTTGTGTCACATAATAAGACTAAACTTTTTTTTTTGTGAAAGTTAAAAAAAAAGTCTGCTAATAGACATCACATCACAAGCCAATTTGGAGAGTGCATGGGGTATTGTCTAGTCATGAATTTCGTTAACCATGATGAATTTCAACTAGTAAAATGTCCTAGTAGTCAAAATGATAAAACAAGAAAAATATTTTAAAATACTTATAAAAAAAAAAAAAAAAAAATTAAGTGTAATTGTATCAATTAGTTTGGATCAGTTATGTAATTAAATTTGTAATAGATCTAGACCAGGGGTTCTCAACCTGTGGGTCGCGACCCCCTTGGGGTCGATTGAAGATTTGCCAGGGGTCGCCAGAGACCATCGAAAAAATGGACAGTTTTGTCTATTCTTCTATTGCTGTGTGTCTGAGCGGGTGAGGGGGTTGCGGCTGAGTGTGGGATTGTAAAGAGGGGTCGTCAAGCTTAAAAGGTTGAGAACCGCTGATCTAGACTAACAATAATAAATCTGTGTGATTAGAAATATTTTTTTACTAATTTTTTTTTAGCTTTCTCAATGACCTATGACCTATCATTTGTCTGGGAATAGAGGGGGGTGGTTCCATCACATGTCAAGTTCAATTTCTTTCCCTTGTTTGATACCAAATAAATAATTAATTAACTTAATTGGTTAATTTTTTTGTATTGCTTCTTGTTTTGTCAGGTACAAGAAATAAATAATAGTGCAAAATTTCAACTTGATCCAAGATCAGAAGTGGGAGAAATAATGTACAAAATAGTACTCTGCCAGGCAGAGTGCCTTGATATAAGTCTTGCAAAAATAGCACAAAAAAATTCTAATGACACCATTACAATTGTCTAGATATCTTTGAAAAATAGGAAACTCAAAAAAAAAAAAAGATAGATTAGAGGTTAGTTTTAGTCCATATTAGCCAGGTTTAAATCTATTAATTTAAAATGAATATTGCAATTTAAAGATAGAACTATACTTGCTGAAATTATTTTAACTTTTCTCATTTCTATTAGTGTTTTTATCTCAAGTGCTTTAATCATAAGGGAGGAGTTATGGGAACAAAAAAATCCATGAGATAGCCATGGTTAACTCAAGTACTATGTATAGAGGCTCCACAAGGTTGTGTACTTTCTCTAGTATTGTACTCTTTATTACTAATGACATAAAATGCCTCAATGACAGTTAAATTTATTAAATTTGCTATAAAACTGCCTAAGTTGGTCTTATCCCAGGAAATGAAACTCAGTATCAAAGTTTGATAAAAAAATTTTCAAACTAGCTGCTGCATTGACTTCTTCTTCTAGCCAGCTTTATTGCTGCTGAGCTGTAAGCTCTTTTGTAGACTGTGCCAAGGAAAACTAGTGGGCTGTTTTCTTCAGTTGTTCAGCACTGCCGTACAGGGTGTTGGTTATGTTGGGCTGTAGTAGAAGTAGGGTGTGCCTAAGGTGGATTAGGAAGTGGCATTTAAAGAAGATATGGTTTATGGTTTCATAAGGGTGGGCGCAGTGTCAACAAAGGGGGAGTTGTGTGGAATTTATTTTGTTCAGATGGTAATTTAACAGAGGTGTGTGTCTTGTTCTTAGTTGGAAAATTGTAGATTGTTCTTTGCGGGGGAAGAAGTTAATACTGTCTAGTTTGTTAGCGATGGTCATTTCTTTGTACAAGGCTCTGCCTGTGTTTCCTTGATGCCCATTGGTTGAGCCACTCCTCTTTGTGATAGATGTCAAACACTGACCTCAGGGTGAGGTAGTTAACAGGTCTATCTGGTTGTTCCATAGATGATCCTGCCTTTGATAGTTTATGTCTTTTTATTTCCTATGATGCCAATGTGTCCAGGGATCCACTGTAGTGTGATATTGATATTTAATTTTCATATCATCTGATGGATTATTACAATTAGTGTTGTCAACTCTCTTGGGCTAATTCAGGTGCTCTTGTAAAGTGCTTGCAGAGTGGATTAGGAGTCTGTAAAGACAACAATATCTGATGGTGAATGCACTCCTTCATATGTTTTCCACTGTCTGTAATGCTATGGTAATTGCCTCAATTTCGGCTTGGAAGTTTGAGCAGTAATTGCCACAGGATGCACTTATTTCAAAGTATTTATTTTTGGGGAAGACCAGGAAGGCACCAAGACCAGCATTGATGGTGGCTTTGAAGGCTGATCCGTCAGTATATATATATGGATAGCTTTCAATTGTTTCGAGTGTGCCTACTTTGAGCTCCAGTGGATTTGATGCTTTTGTTATTTAGCAAATGTGTTTTAATGGTTGGTTGTTGGTAGTTGAGACCAGGCGTTATGTTTGAAAATCTGGTAAATTTTTTCTCTGTTATTGGGTAGGTGGTGTTTTAGGGCTAGTTTGTCAGTAAGTTGGATCAGAGTTATTTGCTTTTTTAGGTTGTTTTTCCTATTTCTATGTTAGTAGTTTATTAGGATGATTGTCCTCCAGCCTTCTGTATCTCTCAATAGCTTCTAATGCTGCTCTGATGTGCCTTAACTTAGGAGGTTCAATATTGGAGTCTATTTCACAGGCTGCTGTGGGAGTAGTTCTCATACCTCCACTGATTAGATGCAAGGCTTG